GGAAATACACATCTGATAGCTTGTACCCCTAAAAAATTAGCCAGACATGGTGACATGTGCCTGTGGTCCCAGCTACACAGGAGCCTGAGGCAGGAAGATTGCTTGAATCCAGGTGGTTGAGGCTGTAGTGAGTTGTTTCCAATGCTGCATAAAACTACAACTCAGCTCAAACCACAGCAAAGGAATTCAAATGTAGACGCGTGCATGCTCACACACACACACACACACACACACACACACGGACCAGGAAGACAGGTATCAACCACAAGTTTGGAAGCTGCAAAGCATGTGGACAAGTGGCAAAGGATCTAATAGACTCAAGAAAGCGAGTCCAGACCAGCAGTGGGGAAGGGTGAGAAATAATGAGGTGCGCAGGAGACTCCTCCAAAGACTTGGGCACTAACATCCCCAGATGCTGTGGTCCTGAGGGAGAGGGAAGGCACAGCTGAATTAAGGAGCTGGGGTAAAAGGTGCTCAAGGTACAAATGAACCCCTAGATCCCTGTCCCCACTCGAACCTGTTCACTCTCAGCAGACATTGGGACGCTTCTCTGGAGAGGGTAAGACAGAGGGCTCTCTGACCTGGGAAATATCAGGCGTAGCTGGACTCAGGTACAACTAGAAACAGGGTAGGTGACGACATGCACACACACCCTTTCCACTCAGCTACCAATGCTGACATCAGGCCTCTACTTTCCGGTTTGGAATATTCTCTAGGAAAGCAGACCAACCAAGAGAAAATACTTTAACACACTGACCTCAGGAATCCCTCAACTAACAGCCCATCCAGTTACCCCACAGTAAAAGAACCTCTAATTTGAGAAGGCCCATCCACTTGTGTGGAACTTCCAATCAGCATTTCCAACTCTCTTCTCTTTATCATAAATAATCAAGGGTTAATGGGCACTTGAGAAAAACCTCTAGTACAAACAAACAGACCCGAATAATCAGATTAGAGGAACTTAGAATGGTATATGCTGCGGATTCTTTTAAAACCTAATTTTTTTTCAGAGATGATACTCCACTCAAACACAAAACAAAACCAAAAAACCCAGAATGTTATTTAGAAATGTTTTTAAAAAGCTCTTGGGAGGTCCTTGGGCCTCACAACATACATATTTAAGACCTTGCCACCTACTTCGTGGCATCTAATTATCTATACATATATAGATATCTAATTATATACATTATATATAATTATAGACATCTAATTATATGTATATTCTTTAGTTATATTACATCTAATTTACATATATATATATATATATATATATATATATATTCTTTTTATTTAAGTAAAAGTAAAGACTTTTTTTTTGAGATGGAGTCTCACTGTCACCCAGGCTGGAGTGCAGTGGTGTGATCTTGGCTCACTGCAACCTCCGCCTACTGGGTTCAAGTGATTCTTCTGTGCTAGCCTCCAGAATAGCTGGAACTTGCAGGCGCATAGCACCATGCCCAGCTAATTTTTGTATTTTTAGTAGACGGGGTTTTACTGTGTTGGCCAGGCTGGTCTTGAACTCCTGACCTCAAGTGATTAAAAAATGCACTGGGGCCGGGCACGGTGGCTCATGCCTGCAATTTTAGCACTTTTGGGAGGCCCAGGTGAGTGAATTGCTTGAAGCCAGGAGTTTGAGACCAGCCTGGGCAACACGGTGAAACCCTGTCTCTGCAAAAAATACAAAAAAATTAGCTGGGTATCATGGCATGTGCCTGTAGTCTCAGCTACTCTGGAGGCTGAGGTAGGAAGATTGCTTGAGCCCAATAATTCAAGGCTGCAGTGAGCCATGACTGTGCCACTGCACTCCTCTGTGGATGACTAAGACCCTGTCTCAAAAAAAAAAAAGAAAAAATCAAGCTCTTAGAAATCAGAAGGTATGATGGTGGAGGAAAAATACAGGTATTGATCAACTTACGGCCTATGCAACTTACGACCACTGGACTTTACGACCACAATCACTAGCCACAACTGCTCCGCATCTGGCAGCGCAAACGTTGCCCAGCTGGGCGTACGACAGTGCGAACCAGCTTCCGGCAGCACTGCCAAGAAAGAAAATTATGATATATAACAATAATGAAAGAAAATTATGATAAAATATGACAAAGATTTTTATAACATCATTTCACAGTACTGTACATATAGCCTACTCAACTTACGACCAAATCGTGTTACGGCCGGTCTGTCGGAACCAATCGTGGTCGTAAGTCGAGCACTAGCTGTATCATAGAAGGATTGGAAGGTAAAGTTGAAGAGAGTAACAGAGATGGAAAAATAGGAGTGAAGAGATAAAGTGGAAGGTTAGTAAAGGAGTTCTAACATCTGAATGATAAGGATAAGAGAAACTAGCAAAAAACCAGAAATCAGAGAAATCGGAAAGAAAAAAGGGAGGCAATTATCAATGAAGTCATTACATTCCCCAGGATTTAGAAAATATGATTTTGATGAAAAGGTTCAGTGTACCAAGCACAGAGGAAGGAAACACCCTTTCCAAGGCACATGATCATGGGCCAGAGGAAAATAAGGTTCCAAGAGTTACAAGACAGAAAGTGGTCACATACAAATGTCTGCTAGACCACAGACCAATGCCTTCAAAATTTCGAATAAAAATGTTATCTAAACACATGCTGTTGAAACTATCAATGATGGGAAAAGAGAATAAAGCCATTTTCAGACAATTCAGACCTCAATTTTATCTCTTACACATGGAACTTACTCAAGGATGCATGCCACCAGAAAGAGGGAATAAGTCAAAAAAGGAATACACAGAACACAGAAAATAGGAAATTTAACATAAGAGGCAAAGGGAATCACCAGGGTGGTGGTATGCAAAAGTCAATGGAATCACAGAGATCTCCCACATGGCTGAGACTATGAAGGTATTATGTTCTTAACACAAATGGCTTAAACACAAGCTACATGACTCTGATTATCTGAGTAAGAGCACTGTTACCTAAACTGAAATACAGAAATTAAAAATCTGCCTGAATTCCAGGTTCTATATAGTCCTATACATTTCTATATGCAGATGCACATGAAGCTGGTAATAGCAGTGGCATTGGCTGGGTGCCATGGCCCACACCTGTAACCCAGCACTTTCGGAGGCCAAGGCAGGTGGACTGCTTGAGCTCAGGAGTTTGAGACCAGCTTGGGCAACATAGTGAGGCCTTGTCTCTATTTTTAAAAATAAAATACAAACCAAACAGTAGTGGCCTTTAGGGCAGGTAGGTTGTGGGCCCCTAGGAAAGAGATGAGGAAAATGACTTTTCACCATTCACCCTTTTATTTTTTTGACTTGTGTACTGCAAATAGTACTTGTTCAACAATGAATATATTCCCTAATTCAAACAAGAATGGAATGAAAAATATCTGATCATCATCATAAGGATATTTTATAAAACTTAAACATATAAAACTAGATTTAATATACATATTAATATGTTCACTATGTGTTAAAGAGGTTATGACAGAAAATGTTTCTTATTGAAGGTTGCAAATAAATTTGAAAGCAATAAACCAAGTACTTTGGTAGAGACCTGCTTTCCTACAATATTGAGCATCCACTGGGTCCAGGGCAATCCCAGATCTGAGATGTTTGTGCCCTTGTATGTGGAGGTGCACATGGAACCAAACAGCCTCACCTGGTGCTGGTATTCCAGGTGCAGTGTCCGCTCGTGGCTGCTCTAGGCCCGCCACTGTAAACTGTTAGGAAGGGCCTCTGGCTTTGTGTGAGAAGACCACTATAGGGAAACTTTGAACAAAATAAAGATGACAAAACATCACTGTTACATCATTTTTTAATTTCAAGGAATATTTTCTAAAATTATTAAAATCATACGTTTATTCCAGTATTTTAAAATATTTTCTGTAACATTCCACTCAGAAGGTAGATAACCACAAAGTTCTTCCCTAAGGAAGGGTGCAAATGGAATGTAATATATTACTGTATATATTATTCTACAGAGTACTGTAGAATACAAACTGTGAAGACAAGGAAATTTAATTATTCAGTTTTTTCCTCTACATTGTTTCTGCTGGAGAACTGCTCACTTAACATCCTAGAAGCTATCTTGTTGAGATTTGCTATCCCCATTGTAGGAGTGATGAACCTTTACTCACAGCATAATGAATGTGGCACTGCCTACATCCATCCTGTGGGACAGCTAAAAAGACAAGCCCTCAGCAGCACACGCCAACCAATCTATCAGAGCAAGCATGCACATGTCTATTCTGCCAAAATCCTCCAAGTTAATTTTTAAATAGCTAAAATATGATGGAGATCATATGGGAACTGCACTTGGAACTACAAACATCCTCTGTTCATAAATGTTCACTGTTATAGCAACAGCATCTTGGGACAGTCAAGGACACAATCACGTTTTTAAAAATCAAGAGGTAAACACAAAAGGGCATTTGCATGAGGCAGAGAATCCTGTTTCTTGGCAGCAGACAGAAAACTGGCTAAAGAAATAGGCTCGGCCGGGCGCGGTGGCTCAAGCCTGTAATCCCAGCACTTTGGGAGGCCGAGGCGGGTGGATCACGAGGTCAAGAGATCGAGACCATCCTGGTCAACATGGTGAAACCCCGTCTCTACTAAAAATACAAAAAATTAGCTGGGCGTGGTGGTGCGTGCCTGTAATCCCAGCTACTCAGGAGGCTGAGGCAGGAGAATTGCCTGAACCCAGGAGGCGGAGGTTGCGGTGAGCCGAGATCGCGCCATTGCACTCCAGCCTGGGTAACAAGAGCGAAACTC